TAGGGTTTCGCCAGTTGGCCAGGCTGGTCTTGAACTCCTGACCTCAGGTGATCCGTCCACCTTGGCCTCCCAAAGTGTTGTGATTACAGGCATGAGCCACCGTGCCTGGCATATATATATATATTTGAACTTAATATTATATATAATATATTAAGTTCGAATATACATATATACATTCAAACTCCTGGCTTCAAGTGAAACGTCTGCCTTGGCCTCCTCAGGCGCTGCTGCTATTACAGGCGTGAGACACCGTGTCCAGCTCGGTGGTTAGTATCTTTATTTGGAGGCGAGGGCAAGCCATGAGAGATCTTAAGGAGTGGTTCTGACAAGTGCAAACTTGTGTTTTACGAAGACCACTTAGGCAGCAGTAGCGGAGGGACAGGAGGGGAACAGGCACTCAAGAGTAGCTGCCATACTTTGGGATCCATCCCCCATCCCTGTGTTTGCAGTGTTTCAGGGACCATTTCAACATCTCCAAAAGTCTAAGATTAAAAATGCAAAAGAAAAGAGAGAGAAGCTGCTAAGGCGAGTCTTTCTCCCAGGCTGGAGTGCAGTGGCACGACCTCGGCTCACTGCACCCACCGTCTCCCGAGTTCAAGCGATTCTTCTGCCTCAGCTTCCCGAGTAGCTGGGATTACAGGCACGCACCACCACGCCTGGCTAATTTTTTATATTTTTAGTAGAGTCACCAGGTTGGCCAGGGCTGTCTCGAACTCCTGACCTCAAGTAATCCACCCGCCTCGGCCTCCCAAAGTGCTGGGATTACAGGCGCGAGTCACCGTGCCTGGCTCACGTGGCGAGTCTTAACCACGTGACCCTCCCCCCTCTCCACCCCCGCAAGTATCAGCGAAGGACTAGCAGCCTCTTCCAATGTGGGTAGCTCCTTGGATGGCCCCGCCCCTCCGGAGAGCTACAGTCAATCAGACGGCGTGAGGCCGGCAGTGGGTGCGGCTGCGCCTGGTGATGCGCAGAGCGGAATACCAGGAAGTGTCCAGTTTCGCTGTCAGTGCTTGGGCAGCTAGCTGCACACCAGGTCCCTTGAGTAATAGTTTAAGAACGGGTGGAGAAAAATTAGGGGGAAGTCTTCAGATATTCAAAGAGTCAGCGAGGTAAAGAGGACTTGGGCAGGTCTGTGTAGCAACGGAGGCGGGAATCATTCATTGACCCATGAAGTATTTCCTGAGCTCCCACCACGTAAGACCAAGTTCTGTTCTAGATGTCCGAGGGGCCAGAGTGAATAAAGCAAAGTCCCCGACCTCAAGGAATTTAACGTGAATAATATGGTGAGGCGGTGGTGTTATAAAAAAATATAAAACACCGGCCAGGCGCGGTGGCTCACGCCTGGAATCCCAGTACTTTGGGAGGTCGAGGCGGGTGGATCACTTGAGGTCAGGAGTTCGAGACCAGCCTGGCCAACATGGTGAAACCCCGTCTCTACTAAAAATACAAAAAATTAGCCGGGCGTCGTGGCGGGCGCCTGTGATCTCAGTTACTTGAGAGGCTGAGGCAGGAGAATCGCTTGAACCCAGGGTTGGAGGTTGCTGTAAGTCTTGATCGCACCACTGCACTCCAGCCTGGGCGACAGAGTGAGACTGTCTCCCAGTAGAGTGATCTGGAAAGGGAAATATCTGAATACAGTAACTGAAGGAACCATGTAGAAATGTGAGAGAAGGGCATCGCTGTGGGCACAGGCAGCAAGTGCACACGTATCATGAGATCCGAGCAAGGAACAGCCAAGCGTCGGCGTGGAAGTTGTATTCAAATTACTTCTACCTCCTCAGTGAAATGCAAAGGAAAACTATCTGCTGTGGATAGGGAAGGAAGAGGCACTGGAGGTTTGAGAAAGATGTCATGAAGGACTCACTTATGACCCTGTAAGTTGAAGAATTATGAATTTTCTAGAACACTTTTTAAAAAAGAAATCTGGCCGGGTGCGGTGGCTCACGCCTGTAATCCCAGCACTTCGGGAGGCCGAGGCGGGTGGGTCATCTGAGGTCAGGAGTTCGAGACCAGCCTGGCCAACATGGTGAAATCCTGTCTCTAGTAAAAATACAAAAATTATCCGGGCATGGTGGTGCACGCTTGCAGTCCCAGCTACTTGGGAGGCTAAGGGAGGAGAATCACTTGAACCTGGGGGGCAGAGGTTGCAGTGAGCTGAGATCGCGCCACTGCAATTGAGCCAGAGGGACAGAGTGAAACCGTCTCAAAATAAATAAATAAATAAATAAATAAAATAAAATATAAAAATAAAAATCCCAGAATGAATTGCAGAAATGTGATCTTGGCAGGTGCAGCCGCTCATGCCTGTAATCCCAGCACTTTGGGAGGCCAAAGTGGGAGAACTGCTTGAAGGCAGGAGTTAGAAACCAGCCTGGGCAATGTAACAAGACCTTGCTTCTACAAAAAATAAAAAGTTAGCCTGGTGTCATGGCACTGTGGTCTCATCTACTCAGGAGGTTGAGGCAGGAGGATGGCTTGAGTCCAGGAGTTCGAGGTTGCAATGAGCCGTGATCATGCCACTGCTCTCCAGCCTGGGTGACAGAGAGTGACAGTCTCAAAGGGGAGGGGGAGGGAAGGTAAAGCACGGTGGCTCATGCCTGTAATCCTAGTACTTTGGAAGGCCAAGGCAGGAGGATCACTTGAGACTAGCCTGGGCAACATAGTGAGACTCTCTCTCTTCCAAAAAATAATTAGCTGGGCTTGGTGACATATAACTGTAGTCCCAGCTACTTGGCAGGCTGAGATAGGAGGATCTCTTGAGCCACGACGTTCAAGGCTACAGTGAGCTAAGATGTGATTGTCCCACTGCACTCAGGCTGGGCGAGAGTGAGACTGTTTCAAAAAAAAAGAAAAAAAAAAAGGAAAAAAATGCGTTTTCCATTGCTGGAAGAGGGCAGGACACCCGAGGATTCTTAAATCAGTGTTATTTTTTAATTTAATTAATTTATTTTTTTTGGAGACAGGGTCTTGCTCTGTCACCCAGGCTGGAGTGCAGTGGCATGATCTTGGCTCACTGCAACCTCTGCCTCCCAGGTTCAAGTGCTTCTCCAGCCTCAGCTTCCTCAGTAGCTGGGATAAAAGGCGTGCACCACCACACCCAGCTAATTTTTGTATTTTTAGTAGAGATGGGGTTTCACTATGTTGGCTAGGTTGGTCTTCAACTTCTGACCTCAATTGGGAGGCCTGCCTCGGCCTCAGCCTCCCAAAGTGTTGGGATAACAGGCATGAGTCACAGCGCTCAGCCTTAAATCAGTTTTGACCAGTCCTCACCAGGCTCTACCAGCACAAGATTCTGTAATGAGAGGTTAAAGAGATTATACTGCCTTAACTGATAATTAGCAACTCTTTTCTCAAGAAATGATGTAGGAGAGTACCCTTCTCCAAATAACCATGAAACTTAACAAGAAGCACAGCTGTCAGGCAGTTAATTTCCCCAAATAGAAGACTACATGGATAGAATTCCTTGCTGAAGTTCTTTTTTTTTTTTTTTTTTTTGAGAGGGAGTCTGGCTCTGTCGCCCAGGCTGGAGTGCAGTGGCCGGATCTCAGCTCACTGCAGGCTCCGCCTCCCGGGTTTACGCCATTCTCCTGCCTCAGCCTCCCGAGTAGCTGGGATTACAGACATGCACCACCACGCCTGGCTAATTTTGTATTTTTAGTAGAGATGGGGTTTCACCGTGTTAGCCAGGATGGTCTCGATCTCCTGACCTCGTGATCCGCCCGTCTCGGCCTCCCAAAGTGCTGGGATTACAGGCTTGAGCCACCGCGCCCGGCCTTCCTTGCTGAAGTTCTGAGGCCAAGAAGGGGAAACTGGGCACTGCTTTTGCTCTGGACAGAGGAATAATGTCCTCAGGAATCATGCTTCTTTCTGGAATGTATCAATATGGTGTTAGAGAGGCGTTTTCAGTCATTCTTTCACCAGTTTCCATTGGCTAAATGAGAAGCAGAAGATTCATAGCGTAACCTCATAAACAGCTGGGAAGGACAGGTGTTAAGTGGTGAGATCTTTTAAAAAGTAAATGAGGGACTGGGTACAGTGGCTCACGCCTGCTATCCCGGCACTTTGGGAGGTCGAGGTGGGTGGATCAGCTAAGGTTGGGGGTTCAAGACCAACTTGACCAACATGGAGAAACCCCGTCTCTACTAAAAATACAAAATTAGCCAGGCGTGGTGGTGCATGCCTGTAATCCCAGCTACTCAGGAGGCTGAGGCAGGAGAATTGCTTGAACCCAGGAGATGAAGGTTGCAGTGAGCCAAGATTACATCACTGTGCTCCAGCCCGGGTGACAGAGCAAGATTCCTTCTCAAAAAAAGTAAATGAGGCTGGACTCGGTGGCTCACACCTGCAATCCTGGCACTTTGGGAGGTCGAGGTGGGTGGATCACCTGAGGTCGGGAGTTCGAGACCAGCCTGACCAACATGGTGAAAACCCCATCTCTTCTAAAAAAATAAAAAAATTGGCTGGACTCGGTGGTGGGTGCCTGTAATCCCAGCACTTGGGAGGCGGAAGTACAAGAATCACTTGAACCCAGGAAGTGGAAGTTGCAGTAAGCTGAGATTGCATGCCATTGCACTCCAGCCTCGGCGACAGAGTGAAACTCCACCAAAAAAAACCACAAAAAGTCAAAGTCAACTGGCATGGAGACAGGAGGCAACGCTCAAATGTTTCCCTGATCTGGGAGTGGGTCAAGCTTTTATGGGATTCCTGTCTAGTCCTAGGTGATGCCAATGCAGTTGGCCTGCCAGGCTTGTGGTGGTAACAATTAGGAGGTTAAAGCTTTTTTCCATTGTGCACGCCCGGGCAATTTTGGCTCTGTGTCACCTGTAACAGCTTAAGCAATGGTTAATCAGTTTGAGCTGGTCCCACAGTTACCACACAATACTTCTCAGAAAATGGTGACCACTTTGGAAGGAATGATGCTTGCTGTGATATTTAACTTTGGAATGTCCATTTTAACTTATTGCCAAGCCACAAGAACAAAGTAATGGCCTTGAGAGTTATTTGAAAGGTTTTCAAAAAAATTTATTTTCATAAATTAACACACATAACAGTGGAAATTTTAGAGTCACAAACTACCAAACAGAAAAGGAACTGCAGGGGCATTATGTATACCAATGTTACCAAAAATGTACAAATTTCATTGAACTACTGACCATGATAATATATAAACATGTCAGGCAGCTATTTTTACTGGCCCAGACCAGCCCAAGGAGATGCTGAGGCCTCTCATGAAGAATTCAAATCCAATTCAGCACCAGGGAGGGGCTTGTGAAGACACACAATCAACAAGCATTGTATCTGAGAGCACACTGCACTAGACGGCCGGCTCAACAAGGACCCCCCTTCATCATCAAAATAGCTTTTGCTGCTCAATTTGTGGCTAGATGGTAACATTAAACTGTAATTGTAGTAAAATTAAATCTCCCTAGCCAGGTTTTTATATAACAAGTTCAGTTCTGGCAAGGAGCCCTTTCCTGACACGAATCCAGGAAAGGATACTCTGCACTTCTGGCCAATTATTTAAACTTTGGATACAGCCACCCACAATGTGGTTATTTAAGAGGTCCTTTCCATGACACCAGGGGGAAAGCTTACAGAAACATAACAGAACAAGGGAATTACAGAAAGCACCAACTGCATACTCCCCCCACCCCAGGGAATGGGAGAAAAGTATCACTGCCTAAAAGTTGGTCTTTCACAGATCTTAATGTACATGGCATTGATTATGAGACGGAATCCCAGCCTGGAGACGGAGCGACGGCCATGCAGTCATCGGCTACACTGTGGCCTTGGATCTGCTGCTGCCGTCCCGTACGCTCCCTGCTGCTCTTGGCCCAGTGGGCGAGGAAGGAGCCACGGGGGAGGTCTCATGCCCAGAGAGTGGGATCTGGAATGGACCTCAGGTTAGCTCTGGAGCTCGTGCCAAAGACTCTTTCAGGCAAAATTGTGACAAAGTATCATGATTTTCACAGCTCTTGAGGAGCGCTGAGTTTTGGGATTCACAGCATGAGTTTCTGGGCTCTTCAGGCTCCGAATAAGGCAAACGCTACATGTCTTTTCACTGTAACTCCCTCAGCTACCGTAGCTTTGAGTAAGGTCAGTAAGAAAAAGTGGACATGATCAGATTTAACAGGAGACGAGGTACAGCTGAACTCATGGAGACATGAAGCTGGAAAGCAGACCAAAAGCAAAAAAAGAGGAGGCAACATGGAGGGAGGAAGCAAACACAGCTAGAAACTGAAAGATGGGAAAAAAAAAACCACGATTGAAAGTTTCAGTGAAAAGCTGATGGGCAGAACCCTGATTGGACCTGAGATTTCTCCTCTTTCCCATATTAAAAACACTAAACCTCTGGAAGTGAGTGATAGTTAAGTTGTAGTTAACTGTAACTTCCCACCACTTGGGGAGGGAAGTTCCCATATTCAGAAACTGTACCAACTCCACACCAGAACCAGACTTGTAGCTCTGGGCAAGTGGTGTGCCAGCAGCCGATTACTGTGTCCCATCATGGTTAGGGACTGTGGGCTTGAGGACCCATGACAACACTGCAGCTGGCTCAGTGCTGAAACTGAATGTAAGACAGGTGTGGCTGAGCGCAGCTGGAGCCTATGTATATACATCACCTTCAGGTAAGTAATTTCAAGTTTGCAGTGGGGCCCCCTTCTCAACTTTGGAGCAGGGGAAGGGCCCTAGCCAGAGGGTAGGCCAAGAATTTCAACGAGGGCCAGGGCTGGCCTCAGAACAACTTCTCTCCTACATTGTCAGGACAAGGAAGGAGCCCAGCTCTGTTTCTTCCAGTCCTCTGCTCCCAGTTACCCATGTTCCAAACCGCTGCTCCTGGCTCTTCGAGTGCCACACCTATAACGGGCAGTTGAAACTATCTCTGCAATGTTGGTGACACTACAGCTGTGCCCACTGTTCTCTCTGGGAAACATAGCTGCCACATCACTGCATCTACACTGCCAACGGAGCTGGTAAACAGGGCTTTGTTGACTCACTGCTAGTCTGCAACCTGTCCAGTAGGAGCTCCCTAAACATGCCTGAACAAGAGCACAATGTACTACTCATCCCACTCCCTTAAGCAAAAAAGGCAGACAGAAGCATTTAGTGTCTAAGAACCCTGTCCCAGGAAGGGAGAGGTATTGAGGTGAAACATAGGTCGTGTCTATACAGTCTGGGCAAAGTGGATGTAGAATGACAGAATCTGGTTAGCATCATTCAGAGCTGGTACGGAAGCCTGGCTCTCTTCTAATTGTATCTGGCCATGGCCTTGGATGCCTCCGTGGATGACCATGTGTGTATTTTACTTGTCTCAATGCTATGTCTGAGGCAGTGGGCCTAGAAGATAGCCGTAGCACACTTTTCTCTCTGGCTTAAGTCAGTTTTTCTGCTCCAGTGTGGCATAGACTGTCAACCTGCAAAAGCAAGGCACATAGAGACCCCCCACCCCCACCCCATCTCCCCATCCACTAGCAAATGGGGAAGCAAAAGAAACCTAAGAGAGTTGACCAACATTCCAGGACGTGCCACTCACTCTTCTCTAACAGACTGACTTGGAAATGTGCCTAGAACTCTGACAGTTCCCATCGGTGGCTGCTCCATGCCAGTGGCTCCCAGGAGGATAGAAGAGGTGATGCTGGTGTCCTGATGATGACTTTAGCACCCCACTCACCAGCCATGGAATGTTAATTCTCTAAACTCTTGTTTTGAGAGAGAAAGAGAAAGAGAAACCCCTAGAGAAGGAGGGGAAGGGGAGCAGGATATGGGTACACAGGACTTCAGTGGAAAAGGAACAAGACCTCGAGGCTGCTGACGCACAGCAGCCCTCTACCCACAGACTCCTGCAGGCACAAACCCAGAAACTTGGCTAACTCCGGCATTCGACAGTTCCGGTAGATGTGACACAGGAGCCCAGAGTACAATGAGGTGGCCCTCAAAGAGGGCTGGCTGGGGATTTTTGAGCTCCCACTGCAGGAACACATCTCTGGGTCTGAAGCATGACCCCGACTCTCTTCTCATTCTTGAAGCGAGCTGTCTGGAGAGCCACATATACTGTGGGTCAGCCTGTATCACTGTCCAAGCTGTTGTACTCAATTTTGTTACCTGACACCATTTCAGATAAAAACCATTAAGACCACACCCAACCACAGTATTTTTTCAATGATCGGGAGAGAAACCTGCTCTTACTTAAATCACTAAAATAAATACATGTATCTGGTGGGCAAGAATGAGAACCCAGATGAATAAAAGTGCTCCCTCTAATGAGTTACACTAGAAGCTGGAGATGGGGAAGGGATTGCCTGAAACACATGAATAGGAAAAATGTCTCTTCCATGCAGCGGTCAACTGGGTCAAATGCCTATCATGTATTCTTAAGACATGTATTGTTTTTCTCCTTAAAAAATTGTTTTAAAATCACATTTAAAGGCTCCAAACATGCAGCAATAATAGTACAAAAACAACAACAAAAAAGAAAACAAATGAAAATAATCCACACCACAACATTAAAAAGTGCAACTTACTTCGAATGGGGCCTGGACGGGCTCCTCTGGCACTAGTGACCCACAGTCACAGAGGGGAGAAAATGATGGGAAAAAGCCACACACGCACAAACACTCTCACATACACTCACATCAATAGGTCCTGGGCAGACAAAAGATTAGAAAACACAACAGCTCATCTTTCCTCAACTACTGAAATGAGCCAGTGAGACCACGTAGGACAGGACGCCAGTTCCCCTCCCTAGGCCACGTTTCTAATAATCTTGGTCTAGCACCACCGTAAACAAAGCGGAACTTTCATATGGACGTGCAAATCCTGTGAGTCCTTGGAATCCTAGTGTTACTGAAGATAGGCTGCTGCTTCCTCCTGTGGATGGCAGAGACTGAGGAGGAGGCTAGATGTCGTTCAGGTTCATTTCCAGGAGAAAGGGAGCATTCCTGAGGTTCTATACTCAGCAGTAAAAGTAGAGGACCCTCCTTCACCAGTTTCTAAAAAGGTTGCACCTTGAAATAGGTAAAATTCATGGACTGTGCATTTTTGAGTGGTTTGGCGGTAGGGCAAAATTAGGCAACCTCTTCCAAGGAGGTCCAAAAAAAAAAAAAAACAAAAACGAACAAACAAAAAAACTAAAATTGAGACCCTCAAACTGAATTGCTTCTCAACAGTCTGATGATCGTTCCTGCTCCTCTTCCTTGGCAAAGAAGGTCTCCAGTTCCATTAGTTTCTGTATCAAAAGAGCATCCAGCTCTCGACTCTGCACAGCTGCCTTCTGGGCCCTGGTAAAGCTGCCTGCCACCATGACTTTACCTCGAGCTCTCCTCTTTCGCGGGACTGTAAAATCCTGAAATTCTAGAACTCGCTTCCTCTTCTGTTGGCTTATTGAGATTAGCGTACCATTTCGTTCCTTGGGTTCCTCAAAGATGGTCTCTAAACACCTAAGGATGAAGCACAAAACAGAATCACCAACGGGCTGACTCACATGGCCCATCCTGTCAACAGGGTCAGGGTATTGACGCTGGGTTAACAACCCTTCTAGTCAACAGTGACTGAAAGCTACTTGCACCAACTCTTTTTTTTTTTCTGTGGGACAGAGTTTCACTCTTGTTGCCCAGGCTGGAGTGCAATGGCATGATCTTGGCTCACTGCAACCTCTGTCTCCTGGGTTCAAGCCATTCTCCTGCCTCAGCCTCTCAAGTAGCTGGGATTACAGGCATGTGTCACTACACCTGGTTAATTTTTTGTTTGTTTTTTTAAGACAGTCTCGGCCGGGCGCGGTGGCTCAAGCCTGTAATCCCAGCACTTTGGGAGGCCGAGACGGGCGGATCACGAGGTCAGGAGATCGAGACCATC